CCGTATCTTTTACAATAATCATTTCATAGCAATAAAAATTATAATTCATACGGAATTTCCGTATGCAAATTTTTTATAGGGTAATTAACTGATATATTTATATTAATTTTCTTAATCTTGATTAACATTTGTGCAAAGCCATTAAACAATTGTAATTGGGTTAATTGAGTTGCATCTAATTTCTGCCTCATCTGATAAAGGTTTTGATCCAAAAAGATTAAGGCATGATGCTTTAGTTATAGATACTGAAAAACATAATAATAATTTTTTAAATGCATTCATTGAAAAAAAAAATATAGATTGTATGCTAGAAAGATCAGCTATATTTTTATTACAATACTTTGAATCAGTTTGGAATAATTTAGGTAAAACACAAAAACTTACAAAAAGAAAAGCAAATGAAAAACAATATTATGATCTTCCAACAATGGGTAAATTATGGGAAGTTGCTTTACCAACAGCTTTTCTTTCATCACACATTCCTAATACTCAAAAATTTTGTGATGCCAACTTTTGTAAGATTTTAGATCAAAATATTCCAAGCTATTTTTTAACTTGTGGTCATTCATTTCATATTATTTGTTTTAACAGGCAAAATAATTTATGTGTTTATTGTTGCCAATATTTTTCAGAAAAGATTAATCAATTAGTTCCTTCTTTTATTGAAAGATTGAAAAAATCTGGACAAGATAACAATAAAAAAAAGAAAAAAAAGAAAGATGATGATAATGATAGTAGTAGTTCTGAAGATGAAAAAAATATTAATGATAATGATGAATTTATAATTTTTCAAAATGATGATTCTGCAAATAAACAATTAACTGAAGCATTAAATAAGTAAGTACCAACAAAAAATTATTTTAACTTTAAAAATTTATAATTTAAATTAATAAAAAAATATTTATCTAAATTATCCAATAGGTTTCATAAAAATTGTAATCAATAATAATATTAAAAATTAATATTAAAAAATAAAATTAAAAATTAATATAATATTAAAAAATAAAATTTTTTTTGATCTTCAAATGTTACACAAAAAATGGGAATTTTCACCATGCTTATATATATATATATATATAAAGCAAGATTGAGATAAAAATTTTCGGAAAGTGGCGCAGCACATGATGATTTGCACCATATCAACTGGGTTTTTTTGACTTTTTACTCAACAATAATCTCTGGCACAAGAATTTATAAATCGGTAAAAAAAATTGAACCTTGTTTAGTAGAAAAATGAGATACATGGCTTGGAATATTTTCTTTAACTAAATTTATAAGGGTTGTTATCAAAAATAGATTTTTTGTCTGCAATTTTTCTAGTACAAACCCCATATGATGATGATGTTTTCTGTTTTGTTACATAACAAGGTTCACCATAATAGGATCAATCATTCAATACTAGATCTTTTTTTTAAATAATAATATAATATTGTTTTCTGTTTTGTCATGTAATAAGATTGGATCAATTATTTAACCCTAAATCCTTATAAAATTAACTTAATATGAATAATAACAAAATAATATTCTATTTTGTCACATGACAAGATAGTTTACCATCAGATAGTCATTTAACTCTAGATCCTTCTTCCTTTGAAACTAAAGCTGGTGATTTTCACATTTTCTGCAACTACAGGTTTCAAAGCTCAAGTTGCAACCTTTTCTGTGGCCTCTGCAACCCCTGAAACTGTCTGCAACTATAATTATGATGACTTAGTATCAAAAATGGGATTTATTTGTTTTTAATAAAATCATTACTACTACCGTTATTATTATTTTTAAATAAAAAAGCATTCTTATTATCTTTTATTATTGCTATTGCCATTATTTTTACCATTAAACATAAAAATAAATTGAGTTTATAGTGATTGAAGTAGCTGACCAACCAGAGATTGCAGACAGTTGCAGACAATTGCAGCAATTGCAGCATTATATGTCTATATTTTTTTGGGTTGCAACCTTCTGAATTGCAACTTCCTAGTTGCAGAGCCATCTTTATAGTTGTGTGTGAACATAGGGAAACTTATACACTCACTGGTCATAAATATAAGGACACTTGAAGATCATCGGAAATAATTGAACAAAGAAACATGAAAAAAAAATAAAAATTTTATTAACCTAACCGCATTTGCTTATTAAGTAAAAATTCATCACCATATCAAATAGTATAGCATACTGAAGTTTCATTGCATATAAACAACAACTCATTGTTTTACAAACTTTAAAAAATAAAAATGAATTTTTTGGAATTTTCAAAAAAATC